CTGCATCCCAAGCCCTGTTGTGCCCCCCCCTCCCCCCCGGTTCTGTGGAGATAGAATACAGGGTGGGAGACGGGGCACCCTGACATCAGCACCCTCCTCTCCCTTCCCTGCTCTGTACTGCATGCAGGAGGCTCCCAGGGAGGGGCAGTTCCAAGGCAAAGGGCAGGAGATGCACAGCAGTGGGGGGAGGGGCACCGTACTGCGTTTGACAGCCTCTTGGCCACACCAGTCAGGATCGCCTGTCAGAGTCTCCAAGATCTACCAGTCGATCCTGATCGCCTGGTTGGTGACCATCGATTTAAGGGATGGGAAACTGTGATGGCGTCTCGGGAGCCCCCGACCCTGCACCTCCATCCCTAGCAAGTAGAGCAGGTGTATTGGTTCCCAGAGAGACAGCTTAGCTTAGGATCAATGTTAACACTGGAGCCAGAGCAGGAAGCCTTATTCCTCTGGGGGGGGCATCACCCCTTTCCTCACTCGTCCTAGCCCAGCCAAGACTAACTCACCTTCCCTCAGCTCCCCAGGCAGCTCCGCCTCCTGCACTGTTCTGCTCCCAGACCCACAGTGAATCTCTTGTCACTTGGTCCCCAGGAAGTGAGATACTCACATACTTCCACTGTGAGTCATGCCTGGCCTCTCCCCCCTCATGCAGAGAGAGCTGCAGGTGGGGAAACTGAGGTACACACACACACACACACACACACACACACACACACACTACAGCAGTGACTGTAACAGCACCCCCACTACGTCACAGGAGCAATCAATGATTGTCTTCAGCTAGCTTTTGAAACTGCCACCTACCCTAAGAGAATACACACAAAGCTGTTAGACCCAAGCCAGAGAAAAGATCAGCGCTAACGTACCTAGGATGATTTGAAACACTTTCTCTGATTAGGCTTATTAGGCTTAACTGGCATGTTCTGCTTTATTTTAGATCTGTAATTTGCGTTGATCTGTCTGTTTTCACTGGTGAGCACCTACATCCTGCTGTTTGTACTTAATAAAACTCTTTTGTTTATTATCAAAGGCAGAGTAAATAATTGTTACCAGGGAGGGGTGGAGAGCAACAGCTGTGCATCTCTCTCTTTCACTGATAAAAGTGGTGATCAGTGCACACTGGTGACAGTCTGATCCAGCCCATTACACGAGGGATATTAAATATCGGTTCATTGAATAGTCAAGTAACCTCAAGAATGCTTATCGGTTACTCAACTCTCTATAGCCCCGGGGGCTCGGCTGGCAGCCAGTGCACTCCGGCCTCACTCCTGAGGAGCCCCCTGCCACCCTGCGCTGCTGCCGTTGTATCAGAGGCAACAGTGCAGGGTGCCAGGTGGGAGCTGGTCCTCGAGGGAAGCCAGTTTTAAAACCAGCTCCCCTTGTGGACCAGCTGCCTGTCACCCTGTGCTGTTGCCTCTGAGAAAGAGAAAGCAGTGCGGGGTGGCAGCAGCCCTGTCTAGGGCGGATCTGAGCTCCCTGGTGCGAGTCGGAACTGAGCCGGGCTGCCTGCCTGCCCAGCTTTTAAAACTTTAAATGCAGAAACGCAGCAGGGATAGGTCCCGGACCCGTTTCAAGCCAGGACTGATCCAGACTGCTGGCCAGCCTGCTAAAAAATTACTGGCAAGTGGGTGGGAGGGGAAATGCGTGTAGTCTATAGCAGTAACCTATACGCTTTTGCTTATTGGTTAATTGACTACACTATTACACCCCTATTTCCCAGGCACTGATAATTTGCTAATACTAATGGTCAACATCCTAACAGATAAATCACTAGATGGCAGATTAGTTGGTGTCTGCTACCCCCAAATCACATTGGGAACAGGATGACCAACTCCTCACA